ATGCAGACATCTTAAGCAGCAGAAATACGAATAATGCTCTCATTCTAGCCTGTTCTAACCTCGAAACGTGTAATAGATAAGTACGTTTAGACATCCCAGATAGGAATATGACGTATTTGTCATTATTTACAAAATTATATAATATAATGATATTGTATAATTATATAATATTATCTTATTTCCGATTGAGACATTCCAAATAGTATAAGCTTATGTACAGGGTGTTACAGATACATACTAGGCAGTACGACGGATTGCACGGCAATTTTGCATAGGTTAAGCGCCTACCCCCGGGCGCCTACCCATGCAAAATTTGCCGCGCAACCCGTTGTACTGCCTAGTATGTATCTGTAACCCCCTGTACAAGCTTGTGCGTTGCTACACGTTACGCTATGCGTTATGCCTTAAGGGGATGCTAAACCGATTACCCAACTCAATCAAGGTCGATAGTACAGACTTTTTTAATTCCAATTTCGATAATAGTGGCGACATCTTTGATTTAGTTTTTACATTATATTATATAATATATATCATTCTGTCTTACTCAAACGCATACATCTGTTCTTATCTAACATATGCCAGCACCATCTATCGCAAGACCGCGCAACTACTACTACACGGAATTTCGGCTCTGTTGACAGTCCCAGTCTTCGCAAAGCATCTGTATACACGTATTTCCTATTCGGTGGGAATATATCTTTTCTAGACTTTCAATCATATAGCGTATTCGATTTACTGACTCGACCCGACTCTGAGTCAACAGTCTGTTCTTTTCAGCTGCATTTCTTACACAATTTAGCTCTTCTTTTGCAGCTAAACAGAACAGACTATTGACTCGGAGTCGGGTCGAGTCAGTAAATCGAATACGCTATTAGTTCTACAAATTCGGTATCGTTCGTTTCAATAATGTGATGTTTGCTGCCCGCTTATTTTCAAGATATGGACTCTAAAACTCTTATATCAAGCAAATATATATCCGAGGTGACAGCTGTGCGAGCCAAAAATAAGTAAATTTTATAATTTTTTTTCGATTTTCTCATAAAATCCAGTGTAGCAAACATCCTCTGTGTGCGTACTATAATTTAAGTAATAACCGGCTATTTTAGCGACAAAAAGGATCACGTGATGAAAATGGACATTTGATATTCGTCAATTTTGACCACGTGATTCTTTTTGTCGCTGAAACATCCGGTTTGAGCAGCCCGTGAAAATTTACCTTTAAGCATTACGCAAAAGTCTGTGTCGCGGCCTTAATAGAGAATGGACTGCGCGATCCGTGTATCAAAATGATCGATAGGGATGAGAGAGAGGGACCGTGGCGATGGCCATTTCTATCTCTTTTCATTCAATAGTATAATGGGAGAGAGAATGAGAGGGAGATTGACCGTCTCCCACGGTCCCTCTCTCTCATTATTGTCGACCACATTTGATACACTACTTATATGCGGATCGCG